GAAAAAGGGGAAAAAGGAGGGAAGCAAAGTAGGGAGGGAGTGAAGCAGGGAGGGAGGGGGAGAAGGAGAGGGAGGGAGAAAAGGGGAGGAAGGGGAGGGGAGGGAGAGAGAGAGAGGGAAAGGAAAAAGGAGAGAGAAGAAGGGAGAGGGAGAGAGAGGGAGGGGGAATGGAGGGAGGAAGAGGAAAGAAGGGGAGGTGGAGGAGAGGGAAGGAGAGAGGGAGGAAAAGGGAAGGGATGGGATGGGAGAGGGAAGAAGGGAGGGTGGGAGAGGGAGAGGGAGGAGAGAGGAAGGAGGAAGGGAGGGAGGAAAGAAAGGGGAAAAAGGAGGGGAGTGAAGCAGGGAAGGAGGGGGAGAAGGAGGGAGGGAGGTGAGGGGAGGGAGGGGAAGAGAAAGGGGGAAAAGGAGGGGAGTGAAGCAGGGAGGGAGGGGGGAGAAGGAGGGAGGGAGGGGAGGGAGGGGAGGGAGTCGAGCTTGATCCCTTCCTGGCATATTCATTTTCTTGGCAACAGCAGAAGTGTCTTCTTCAAGGATGCGAGGTCTTCACAGTTCAGCCTATAGCAAAACTCTCACTTGAGCAACGTCTTTGTGTCTGGTGGCATGTTACAAGCACAGCAGGAGTCAACAAAATACCGTGTCAGCCCTTGACTGATTATCTGAGAAAGTACATTAATTCTAATTTTAACTCTGCTTCCTGTTTCTAAATTATGGCTTGGTCTCTTATTTTGGCATTATGAATAACATTTTTGGAGTTTTTGGAGGCTTATTTAATGGTATGTCATATTAATATCCCTTTCCTTGCCAAAAGGCAACTTAAAAATAATACCGTACATACATACATACATTCCTGATTAGAATTTTATTATTCCTGACCTGGGTTTAAAACACAACACTTCTGTAAAAAAGGGGGGGCAGGGGACATTTTCACTTTTGGGGGGGCCTATTGGTAGAATATTTTCGGTTTTCACAGCTGTGAATTTTGAAATTTGGGTTTAAAAAATTTCAGCTGGTGCTTTGCTTTTTAGGTAATATTTAAAAGCCATTACTTTATTATGAAACACATCTGTTTTTAGCTGTCTTGATTAATATTTATCTTTCAGTGACAATATTATTATCCTCCCTCCCTCCCTCCTTCCTTCCTTCCTTCCTTCCTTCCTTCCTTCCTTCCTTCCTTCCTTCCTGTCAAGCATGGAACACTTCTCCTCCCCTTAAATAATATAAAACAGTAATTAAAAATCTTCATACAGTACTTCATCCAACTTAAAAAGCCTAGCTGAAAATATTTTAACCATCTTCACAAATTGTGGTAATTTCCAGGTTAGTTTACTGCCATCAAACTCTCATTCAGTCCCTATTTCCAGAACAAAGCAAGCATACGCACCATGTCGTCTAGCTAGTAAAAATATGGCTTGATATTTAAACACCAGCAAACCTAAAAAAAAATTGTTACTTGGCAAAAGAGGACAAAGGCAGGCAGACAGGGAGAGGAAGAAATACAAAACCATCTCTCTCTCTCTCTCTCTCTCTCTCTCTCTCTCTCTCTCTCTCTCTCTCTCCCTCCCTCTTCTATCAAATTTAGCAAAAGGCACAATCTTCTCAGAGACTTTGGAAGCAAGTATTATTATTGACATTGCCATAGGTGTATACTACAGACCACCCAACCAAACAGAGGAGATAGATGAACTTTTTGCTAGTCAGCTAACTAAGGTATGTAGGAAGCACATCACAATAGTAATGGGGGACTTTAACTACCCTGACATCAACTGGGAGACAAACTCCGCACCAAGTGGAAGATCAAACAGGTTCCTGGCAAACCTAGCAGACAACTTTGTCTCCCAAAAAGTAGAGAATGGAACTAGGGGATTAGCCATTTTGGATCTAATTCTCACTAACAGAGATGAAATGATAGACGGTGTTGGAGCCATAGGAACCCTGGGAGGAAGTGATCATGCAATATTAGAATTCAACATTATAGAAGCACAACCAATAGAACACAGTCAAACTAGAGTCTTGGACTTCAAGAGAGCTAATTTCAATAAACTTAGAGAGGGCTTGGGAAGGATTCCATGGATGAGAATCCTCAAGGGGAAAACAACTCAAGAAGCTTGGGAAATTTTGAAAAATGAGATAATAAAAGCACAGTCTAGCACAATACCAACAAAGAGGAAAAATAACAGCTCTCAAAAGAAACCAGCATGGCTGCATAAAGAACTCTCTGACAAATTGAAAAATAAAAAGGACAAGTATAGAAAGTGGAAAGAGGGGAACATAACTAAGTCAGAATATCAGCAAATAGCCCGAGCCTGCAAAGATGAAGTGAAGAAAGCCAAGGCTCAAAACGAACTGAGGCTTGCGACCAAAGTCAAAAATAACAAAAAAAGCTTCTTTCAACATGTAAAAAACAAGAAAAAAGTGAAGGAAATGATTGGTCCATTAGTGGGTGGAAGTGGCAAGAAGGTGACAAGCAACAGGGAGAAAGCAGAACTATTTAACTCATTTTTTGCATCTGTCTTTACACAAAGGGAAAAAACAGACCAACCTATCAAAAATAGTGCCACAAAAAACAAAACAGAAACACAAGTTAAGATAGGCAAGAAAATCGTTAGTGAGCACCTGTCCAGCCTAGATGAGTTCAAATCGCCAGGACCAGACGGATTACACCCCAGAGTTCTCAAGGAACTGGCAGATGTGATATCGGAGCCACTGAACTATATTTTTCAAAGATCCTGGAACACAGGGGAACTACCAGAGGACTGGAAAAGAGCTGATGTAGTTCCCATCCTCAAAAAAGGAAAAAAAATGGATCCAGGAAATTACAGACCTATCAGCCTGACCTCAATACCTGGGAAGATCCTGGAAAAGATAATCAAACAACGAATCAACGAACACCTAGAGGCAAACAAAGTCATTACTAAAAGCCAACATGGGTTTGTCAAAAATAGATCATGCCAGACAAATCTTATTGCATTCTTTGACCAAGTGACAAAATTAGTGGATCAGAGGAATGCTGTGGACATAATTTACTTGGACTTCAGTAAGGCATTTGATAAAGTAGATCACAACCTACTACTTGACAAGATAGAAAAATGTGGGGTAGACAGAACCACCACCAGATGGATCCGTAGCTGGCTGACCGGCCGTACTCAGCGAGTGGTCCTCAATGGAACTGCATCTATATGGAGGGAAGTGTGTAGTGGGGTGCCCCAGGGCTCTGTTCTGGGCCCAGTACTCTTCAACATCTTCATCAACGATTTGGATGAAGGGATAGATGGGGAACTCATCAAATTTGCAGATGACACCAAGCTGGCAGGAATAGCCAACACTCCAGAAGACAGGCTTCAGATACAGAAGGATCTGGACAGACTTGAACACTGGGCACTAACTAACAAAATGAAATTCAATGGTGAAAAAAGCAAGGTTCTACATTTAGGCAAGAAAAACCAAATGCACAAGTACAGCATAGGTGGCACCATGCTCAATAGTAGTAACTGTGAGAGGGACCTCGGAGTCCTAGTAGACAATCACTTAAATATGAGCCAGCAGTGTGCTGCAGCTGCCAAAAAGGCCAACACAGTGCTAGGCTGCATTAACAGAGGGATAGAATCAAGATCACGTGAAGTATTAATACCACTCTTCAATGCCTTGGTAAGGCCACACTTGGAATACTGCATCCAGTTTTGGTCACCACGATGTAAAAAAGATGTTGAGACTCTAGAAAGAGTACAGAGAAGAGCAACAAAGATGATTAGGGGACTGGAGGCTAAAACATATAAGGAACGGTCGCGAGAATTGGGTATGTCTAGTTTAACGAAGAGAAGGACAAGGGGGGACATGATAGCAGTATTCCAATATCTCAGGGGCTGCCATAAAGAAGAGGGAATTAAGCTATTTTCCAAAGCACCTGAAGGCAGGACAAGAAGCAACGGGTGGAAACTCATCAAGGAGAGAAGCAACCTAGAACTAAGGAGAAACTTCCTGACAGTGAGAACAATTAATCAGTGGAACAGCTTGCCTCCAGAAGCAGTAAATGCTCCAACACTGGAAGTTTTTAAGAAGAGACTGGACAGCCATTTGTCCGAAATGGTGTAGGGTTTCCTGCCCGAGCAGGGAGTTGGACTAGATGACCTCCAAGGTCCCTTCCAACTTTACTACTATTACTATTTAGTGTATGATAAGAACATGACAGAAGAGAAGAAAATATTAGAAAAAATGGTATGGTATAATAGTGCTATGGTGGTACCGTGGTTAGAATGCGGTATTGCAGGCTGATTCTGTCGACTGCAAGCAGTTCGATCTGACCGGGTCAAGGTTGACTCAGCCTTTCATCCTTCCGAGGTTGGTAAAATAAGAACCCAGATTGTTGGGGGCAATATGTGGAAACTGCTTAGAGGGGGCTGTAAAACACTTTGAAGCACTATATAAGTCTAAGTGCTTTTGCTATGTACAGTTCCAAAGGTAATAATCTTGGTTATTTCAGCTTTAATCCTTTAACGTACATAACAGTAGCAGATACGGAAAGGAAGATACTAGGAGTTTCCATTCTGTGTTCTGCACTACTAAAGAGATAATTTGATGGAAGGAATAATATATGCTAGTTCATTTCACAGTTTGGGAACATTGTGTATTTATATACCTACCAGGACCTGATCATTCTGGGCAACCAAGGTCAAACCAAAGGACATATTGAAAGCATCTCTTGGTCCTGTAAGAAATATACCCAGAAAGGATGAAGATTAACCAGAAAAGCATAAATCCTCTTCTGCTAGGAGTGTACAAATTTAAAAAAAACAAATCCAGGAAGGACTCATTTCTACAATGCAGAATCTTGTGTAGCTCAGCCAAAGTTCAAAGTCTTTGCTGTAACGTGGCTCAGTTGCTGACCACAACATGTTGCTGTGATATCAACAGTTTAGTATCAAAATATATCTTATTCTGTTTCCATCTTCCCTTAAAACAGTGGTTCTCAACCTTTTTAATGCTGCAACCCCCAACCGGTTGTAAGTCGAGGACTACTCAACTGGCGCAGCACCGTTTGCAGAATGGGACTTTTGGCGGGCTCAGCAGGGCAGAGACAGCTTGGACAATTCCTATTGGCTTTTGAAAGCCAATAGAATTAGACTCTATTAAAGAGAGTCTATTCTATTGGCTTTCAAAAACCAATAGAATAAAAGGGAGTAGCACAGCTAAGGAAAAGGGGGGAAAATGGCAGACTGCGTTGTTTGTCGATCCCCGTGAAATGGTCGTTCGACCCCAAATGGGGTCCCGACCCACAGGTTGAGAACCACTGCCTTAAAACATTAATAGAATCCACAATGAACTGAGAATCAGCATCTCCGCTAGATAACTGACAATCAAACTGAAACTAAGTTAATCAAGTAAAAATAGCAAATGGGGGAGGAATTCTTTTACTCAAACTTCCTCAAATCCCCAAATAAGTTACCTAGACCAGGGCTTTTCAAACTTTTCACTCATTGTACCACTTTTAGGATATGGCAATATCCTAGTGAGCTGTCAAAAACTTGATGACCCCCCCGCCAAAAAGGAAAAAGTGATAAAGTACAGATAGTCCTCGACTTACAACAGTTTGCATAGTGACTGTTCGAAATTACAATGGCACTGAAAAAAGTGCCCCCCAAGCCACAGCCGAGCAAGACACCTGCCTGCCCACCAGGTGGCGCTCTTCCTCCTTCCAAGGTTTTCATTGTTGTGAGCATTTCTGTTGAGGATTGGCAGTGGGGGTGGGGTGGGGGGGGGTGTTTGGTTTTTATTCCCCCTGTCTGCTGGGTGGTTGCAGCAGGTTTTGGTCACTTCACATGACCCTGGGACACTGTGATCATCATAAATATGAATCAGTTGCCAAGCATCTGAATGTAAATCACAAGACTCTGGAGATGCTGCAACATTCCAGCTGATTGGTGCTTCTTCTGGGCTCAGCAGAGGCACCAGGATCAGCGCCAAGCTCCAGTTGGAGCCTGGTGCTGATCCTGGCGCTTCCGCTGAGCCCTGACAGCCCTGCAGCTCCAGCCATCTCTCGCTCAGGCTTGTGCAGTGCTGCCACTGGTTCAGCTCATTCCCCTCCCCGCTACCATTTTTCTAGGATGGTCGCATACCACCTGCCACGTGCCAATGTACCACAGGTGGTACCCGTACCACTGGTTGAAAAACCCTGACCTAGACCTAATCCACATATCAAAGGATAAGGTCTGTAAACAAAAACAGAGTTAATTAAATTAGGACTCTCAGCAGAACTGCACATTCACAAAAATAAACATCTTAAATGACCTACCTATCTACCTATCTATATACACACAAACACATACGCACACACCTCAAGTGTCACCCTAGAATCAGCACGTAGACACTTCCACACTCAAGACAAGTTCCCCTAGAAAAATCTGCAGCTGCCCCCAAAGCAAACCCCTTAACTTTGGGGAATAAATATTTCTCCCATCCCCACAGGTGTTTGGATGTCATTTTTATTTATTCTTGCTCAACCTTAGCTCGAGTTGGAACCCCAAATTATTCTTCCGACACTGCCCTTTGGTCTCACCCCGTTCTTCTGAATTTCCAACCAGATGGAATTTCTTTCCTCTGAAAGATAGCCAGGAATGTTCCTCCCTGGCCAGACCCGTCTCCAGTCCTTGCAAAGGGGCAGAATTGGAATTCCCAACCCTGCTCTTTCCCTTGAGAGCGACCATGCAGATGGGAAACCTACTTTGGATGCTAATCTCTTTACAGTCCCCTGAAGGGTAGGCGCATCGGTAGAGTTTGCCTGTTTCATTCCCCTGTCCAGTCTCGAATGGGGCCCCAACGAGCACCCTGGGGGGAGAAAGCAGAAGGATGATTAATATGTTCACAACCCCTTTAACATCGTTGGCTCTTGACAATGCACTATGGACAGGAGTAGTGGGTCTCTAGGAAGAGAGAAGAGGAAAGAAAGAAGTTAACAGACAGACAGATATGGATGCAGAAGAGAGACACAGAGACAGAGACGATGACAGGCAGGCAGATGTAGAAAGATGATAGATCATTGGTGGCGAACCTATGGCACATGTGCCAGAGGCGGCACTCAGAGCCCTCTCTGTGGGCACACATGCTGCCACTGCCAGCAACTTGTGCAGGTCCATTAGGCTGCTGCCACCACCCAGAGCAGCAGCCCCATCAGGCACAAAGGAGGCGAAGCGGCCAGCTAGCAAGATCGAGTAGAGGTGGTAGAGCACGCCCACACCCAGCAAGTCAAAGGCCACCCCGAGCAGGGAAAGCTGGATCCCCATCGGTGCCATGGCCCCCCAGTCCCAGCTAGGATTGCATGCCTCCCCCCATCTATGCTGGGCCTCCTGCCCACCGCCCCATGCTCCAGAGACCCCCTGGATCTCCCCCAACCTTGCCCGGCCCCCACAGGCGTCCCCCCCATGAGCAACATCAAGGTGGCCATGCCCACCCCAGCCACGCCCACCCAATCTGCCGTGACAACCGGAGCCACACCCACACAGTGGGCCATGCCCTCATCCCCCCCCCCTGAGGGCACCACAATGCTGATGCGGCCCTGGCACTTTGTGATAAATAAGTGGGTTTGGGGTTGTGGTTTGGGCACTCAGTCTCTAAAAGGTTTGCCATCACTGTGATAGATCATAGATTGAGAATAGAGAGATAAAGATAGGTAGATAGTGATAGGTAGGTAGGTAGGTAGGTAGGTAGGTAGGTAGGTAGGTAGGTGGATGGATGGACGGATGGATGGAGGCAGGCAGGCAGGCAGAAAGACAGACAGAGACAGACAGATAAATAGATGACAGAGTGAGTGAGAGATTAGAAATAATACAGTAAGTTACATAGAAATACAAAGATTTTTGCAGCCACTATTTTATTGATAAGAGAATTGCCTGGTGAGTCAATGAACATGGACTAATATTTTGCCAGCTCCACTGTCAGATTCTTTATAGCAGATCTGGAACTGAGTCGAATCAATGTCTTGTCTTAATATATACGGCTTCTGTTCTACGAAGAACAATGCCTGAAACAAACCAGTGGCTATATTGGAGACAACACTTGGTAGCCTCCTTATTTAAATTATGAATTCCATTTCTTTTCTAATAATTTGGGAATCATCCGTAACACTGCAGCAGAATGCTGGTATTCTTCAGGTTCATTTCCATGCATTGGTCCTCGGGGATGCTGCAAAGCTAAAGTTATGGTTTTAATCTAATAGTCGTTTTCTGTACTTTAATTAAAACAACGTTTCTCAATCTTGACAACTTTAAGTTGGGTGGAGTTCAACTCCCAGAATTCTTTTGCTGAATGAAGAATTCTGGGAAATGAAGTTCACACACCTTAAAGTTGCCTGCCTTGAAAAACACTGAATTAACATATTCTACATCAGCCTAGCCTTGCTTTTCATCTGATGAATGTTTGCTGCAGCTCACAAAATCTTGTGACTTTTAATACATAAAGAGTACAGAGAAGAGCAACAAAGATGATTAGGGGACTGGAGGCTAAAACATATAAGGAATTGTTGCTGGAATTGGGTATGTCTAGTTTAATGAAGAGAAGGACAAGGGGGGACATGATATCAGTATTCCGATATCTCAGGGGCTGCCATAAAGAAGAGGGAATTAAGCTATTTTCCAAAGCACCTGAAGGCAGGACAAGAAGCAATGGGTGGAAACTAATCAAGGAGAGAAGCAACCTAGAACTAAGGAGAAACTTCATGACAGTTAGAACAATTAACCAAGGGAACAACCTGCCTCCAGAAGCAGTAAATGCTCCAACACTGGAAGTTTTTAAGAAGAGACTGGACAGCCATTTGTCCGAAATGGTGTAGGGTTTCCTACCTGAGCAGGGGGTTGGACTAGATGACCTCCAAGGTCCCTTCCAACTTTACTACTATTACTATTACAATGGTTGCTATCAGACCCTTGATCATTCCTGGATTTCTCTATAATATCAGGAAGGCAGTTGATAGCAGGGAGACCCATGGGGAACTGCATTAGAAAAACAGTAAAATAATGTGGAATTTTCAACCTCCAAAAGAGGCCAGGCAAGGAAGAAGTAAGGATAGAAAATGAGAATTGAAACAAGCCAGCCTGAGCATTACAGTGGGTGCAAAAACCAAATTAAAAATCTATTTCCTCTTACTTATTCTCAATCTGGGCGACACTTGTGCCGAAACTCTGACTTTGGCCTTCAAAGATGGTTGGGGTATCCACATCCACACTGAAACCATAGCACCAGGGTACCCATACTGTTGGAGACAAAGACTTTTACTGAGCCTCTTCAATTACACATTTTCCCCCAAATTGTATTCTATCAGGAAGAGAGAACTGTAGGAGAGGGCTAGAATGATGGATTGAAGGAGACTCAGAATTCTACCTGGAATTATCTCCTCCCCCCCCCCCCAATCAAGGAGGCAAAATTAGAAATATTTTCGCTGCCTGGATAGGCTAGTAGTGCAAAATAAAGATACTTTGCAGATTAAGTAAACCTCTTTTAAGAACAATCTACCCATTTCACAGTTCTACTCCCTTAGCTGACTGGGGTATGTAGTAATGAGAAGCAGAAAAGGTCATAAATTGTTTTGTCCTGCAGCATTGTTAGCACAGGAAGGTGTGCTTGTGAAGCTGCTGGTGGCGTTGCAAATCAGTTTGCCCCAGACTGCAGCCAGTGACTTTTAAAGAGTAGGAGCAGATTTTAAACAAACGCTTAAGAAAAGAAAAGCTAACTTGGTGGTTGAAAGTCGCTGGGCTTTGCAGCTGGACTTTAAAAGTTTTTTTATGTTTAGGATCTTAATTAGGACAAAGAGGTTGATGAGATAGGGAGGGGGGTCCCCAATTAATGCCCAGATTTCCCTTGCTTGGGACACTCACCTATGCTCAGGTAGAAAAAGATCCATGGAGGATCCATGCCCGGAAGGATAAGAAATTAGTTTGCAGTCAGTCAAGGAAAGAAAGATTTTTAAAAAACCCTTTTGAGGCAGCTTTGTAGTGAATTTGCAATCGGGTCTAATCTGAAAGTGGTTTTATTTTTATGCTGAGAAAAAAGTCCAGCCCTCAAAGGACAGAGGGGTGGGAACAGGTGCTAAAGTAAGCTGAGAAGCTGAGACATACTAGAGGAGTAAAGTTCATTACCAAAACTTGGTATAGAATTAGTGTGACTAAGTTAAAAAAAGATCAGAAGCTTTCTTCTTCTCTACTCTTTCTTCCCCTTTCTGTTTCCTGCCCCTAACTCATATTAAAACTAGTTTTTGTTTATCAAAGGCGTAGATGTGCTTTGTTTCAATTGTTTTGATTGCAGCCAAAACAATGAAAAGTCCAGGAACATCTTAAAGATTAACAGGTTTCATAATGTAAGGGTGCACAGCATCCAGGCAGGGACTGAAATTATTTGTTGTTGTTAGTTGCAAAGTCGTGTCCGACCCATCGCGACTCCATGGACAACGTTCCTCCAGGCCTTCCTGTCCTCTACCATCTTCTGGAGTCCAGTTAAGCTATTACGGATAGGTAACAATAAAATTGCTGACAGGAGCTGCAAAACTATGCTGGTCCACTAGATGGCAGCAAAGAGATGGATAAAAGTATTAATCCTTATTGCCATCTAATGGATAATCTGAGTTTTTCAGTCCATATATACTGTATGCCAGGGGTGTCAAACTGCTAGCCCACTGACCGGATGCATCATGCCGAAACTGCGCCTACCCCATTGCCGGCAATGGAGAAAAACTCACGACACGTCACGTGACGTTGCGAGTTTGACACCCTTGCTGTATGCAATCTTAATTTTATGAGAGTGACATTGCAACACTTTCACAAACTTTCCTTATTTTAACATTTTTAGCTGGTTTTGATGGCTACTCATTGTAATTAAGCAAGGCAGCTAAACCCTAAATAAAAGTGATAAGGGAAGATAAAATTTAAAATCAAGTGAAAATTCTTGCAAAAACAAACCACTGTGGTGTTGCCCTTCTAACCAGCAGAATCATAAACCAGGGTTTAGTCACGTCATCAGCACTGGTGATGTGACCTAATTGGGTTATGAAACATCTGCAGTAATAATATATTTTATACAATCATAGAATCATCATAGAATCATAAGGCTAGTCTAGCCCCCTGTTCCAGTTTCAAACCATCCCAGTCAAATGGCTGTCCAGTCTAACCTTGAAAACCTCCAGTGATGGAGCACTCACGACGCACAGCTGTCAGAAAAATTGTCCTTACTTCTAGGTGAGAGCTTTTCAACCAGTGATACGGATACCACCTGTGGTACATTGGCACCTGGCAGGTGGTACGCGACCATCCTAGAAAAGTGGTAGCGGGGGAGGAGAATAAGCTGAACCGGGGCAGCACCACACAAGCCTGAGCAAGAGATGGCTGGAGCTGCACGGCTGTCAGGGGTCAGCGAAATTGCCAGGATCAGCGCCAGGCTCCAGCTGGAGCTTGACGCTGATCCTGGAGCTTCTGCTGAGCCCAGAAGAAGCGCCGATCAGCTGGGATGTTGCAGCATCTCCAGGGTCTTGTGATTTACATTCAGATGTTTGGCAACTGATTCATATTTATGACAGTCACAGTGTCCCAGGATCATGTGAAGTGACCAAAACCTGCTACAACTACCCAGCAGACGGGGGGAATAAAAACTAAACACCCCCCCACCCCACCTCCGCTGCCAATCCTCAACAGAAATGCTCACAACAATGAAAACCTTGGAGGAGGAAGAGTGCGGCTGGGTGAGCAGGCAGGTATCTTGCTTGGCTGTACATTTTCAGTGCTATTGTAACTTCGAACAGTCACTAAGCGAATTGTTGTAAGCCGAGGACTATCTATACTTTATCACTTTTTCCTTTTGGGGGGGTCATCAAGTTTTTGACAGCTCGCTAGGCGACTGGTGGTACTCGGATATTGCCATATCGTAAAAGTGGTACAATGGGTGAAAAGGTTGAAAAGCCTTGTTCTAGGTTGTATCGTATCTCTCATTAACAAGCTTCCACCTATTCTTGTTCTGTCCATTGGAGCTTTAGAAAATAAGTCAATCCCCTCTTCTTTTGACAGCCCCTAAAGTACTGCAAAACAATTAGTATGTTCCCCCCCCCTACCTTTTCTCCAATAGGCTAGAGACATACCGAAGGTCCCTCAACGTTTGTCATACAATCTCGCCTCCAGACCCTTAATTATCCTTCTTGCTCTTCTCTGTACACTTTTGAGGTTTTCAACATTCTTTCTGTATTGTGGTGACCATAACTACATGTGGTATTCCAAGTGTGGTCATTGTTGCAAGCAAACAGCATGGTTGCAAACAAACATGCTCAGAGAACACCCAAAACTCCATAGTTCAACCCTGAGTTACTAATATTCTCATTTTTGGAACCTCTCTCTAACTTGGTTCTTGGGTCTTCCAACAGTGTAGCCCTCCTCAATATATCTTGCTGCTGACCACTTTCTTTTTCTCTTTATTTCTATGCTTTCTAGTATAAGAGCCTTCCCTAGAGAAACAGGTCTTTCCATAATATGCCCAAAGTATGATCACTTGAACCTGGTTATCTGTGCTTTGAATGGGAACTCTAGGTCAGGGCTTTTCAACCTTTTCACCCATTGTACCACTTTTAGGATATGGCAATATCCGAGTACCACCAGTCGCCTAGCAAGGTGTCAAAAACTTGATCACCCAAAAAAAAAAAGGAAAAAAGTGATAAAGTACAGGTAGTTCGCTTAGTGACTGTTCGAAGTTACAATGGCACTGAAAAAAGTGACCCCCAAGCCACAGCTGAGCAAGACATTTGCCTGCCCGCCCGGCAAAGCTCTTCCTTCTGTTCGAGGTTTTCATTGTTGTGAGCATTTCTGTTGAGGATTGGCAGCAGAGGTGGGGTGGGGGGTGTTTGATTTCTATTCCCCCCGTCTGCTGTGTGGTTGCAGCAGGTTTTGGTCATTTCACATGACCCTGGGACACTGTGATCGTCATAAATATGAATCAGTTGCCAAGCATCTGAATGTAAATCACAAGACCCTGGGGATGCTGCAACATCCCAGCTGATCGGCGCTTCTTCTGGGCTCAGCAGAAGCGCCAGGATCAATGCTTCTTTCCAGCTGATTGGTGCTTCTTCAGGGCTCAGCAGAAGCACCAGGATCAGTGCCGAGCTCCAGCTGGAGCCTGTCGCTGATCCTGGCGCTTCCGCTGAGCCCTGACAGCCCTGCAGTTCCAGCCATCTCTCACTCAGGCTTGTGCGGTGCTGCCACCAGTTCAGCTTATTCCCCTCCCCTGCTATCACTTTTGTAGGATGGTTGCGTGCCACCTGCCAGGTGCCAATGTACCACAGGTGGTACCTGTACCACTGGTTGAAAAGCCCTGCTCTAGGTTGCGATAGAGCTCAGGGTTCAAATGAGGGCTCCCTGGTACTTGCTGAGCTTGGCTGTTTTCTTGCAGACATTTCATTACCCAACTAGGTAACATCATCATGAACTACCTCAAAGAGACAAAGGAGTCCAAAACAGTAGTTTGATGATCCCCTTATTTATTTTCTTAACTATCCATGTTAATTTCAGAGACTCCTTTCACATCAAAGTTCAATTATGTATTGATTGAAGAATTGTGATCCACACACGGAAGTATTTAATAGAAGAAATCTTAACTGGAGCATCCAATACTTTAGATACGTAGAAAGAAATGTTTGAGTTCACTTCTACCGTGAAATATGTTTATTAATAGAAGAGAATATTTGTATCTCAGGGTCGATCTGTGGGTCCTTGTTGCTCTCTGACTTTTGTGGTTTTCTTGCAGACATTTCATTACCAAACTAGGTAACATTATCAATGCAATACATTTATTACAACTGGGCTGAAATTATCCTAAGTGACTTTTATCCCTTGAACTTTTATTTTTCACAAAATGAAATAGCATCGAATTGATCTGAAAGGAAGCACATATGCTGAGAAAGAAACAATCCATCATTTTACAGCTTGCTCACAACTGTAGATGTGGTGAAGGCAAGTATGCTACCCCTGTTCCCCTTACTGGTAACACTTTTTAAAATAGTGTTTTGCCTTTCCTGTAATTTAACTGTCAAGAAAGGTGCTGAGAGACCCAGCTTTGTTTTTTCTCATTCAGCATAGGTGGCAAAGTGGTCGTTGTGGTATTACCTTTCGATGAAAGGACTATGACGCACGCTACCTCAATCTTTTAGCAGAAAGGGGGAGTAGAAAGCTAACCAAGGTTTTTTTTTTAAGTGTCCCAGCTCCCAACACAACTGAATTTAGTCTAACATTTCAAAAACCATGACTTGTGACAGGATAATTTTGGGAAGCTGATACGGGCTTCCTCTTATTTTCTGAAAGAAATTTCTCTCTAAGGCAGGGGTGTCAAATTGCCGGCCCACGGGCTGGATGCGTCATGCCGAAAACGCACCCACCCCATTGCTGTCAATGGAAAAATTTGTGATACATCACTACATGTCACGTGACATTGCAAATTTGAAACCCCTGCTCTAAGGGATTTATCACCATTGTAAACCCAGCATCTTGTGATTTTTATAAAATGCAAAAAAAAAAAAATGCTGAATGGAAATTCAGGAAGTACAGCAGGGTAGCTGTTATGTCCTGAGCCTGTGGAAGCAGGCTCGGGGCATTGCAAGCAGTCCCAGGCAGGTGCAAGCTGTCCAGGACCAGACAGGCTGTCGCCAGTACTTGTGCGCATGCGCGAGTGCTGGCGCGCCAAAAGTTGCAGATTGACCCGGGAATGGCCTATATAAGAGGCCGGGAGTTTTGGGCGTTGTCGGCGTTTTGTAACCAGTATGCTGAATAGAAATAAAGGAGTTCCTGAGAACTACAACTGCTTCTCGTGTCATTGCCATTTCGCGAAGGACGCAACACTGGCGACGAAGGTGGGATTGCCTTACATCGACAGAAGAAAGGTGTAAGCTTACCCGAGTGAGTCCTGAGCGGCAGGAACGGCGTTGACTCGGCAGCTACCCGCCAATCCAGCGAGCATCGGGGGTAGGCTGGCTGATAGACCCTTCCTTTCTAC